TTAATACACGATTTTAGGGAAAACCGCCCCAAAAACGAGCAAGTAATTTGCCAATAAATTGAAATTACAATACGAAATAGCTCATGAAAAATATCGAAGAACATACCGGACAAAAGGTGAAATCATCCTCACCAGCCATTTATATCCCAAAATCAGATTCCAAGAGGGGGCAAAAAACAATATTCAATCTACAAAATTCGCCTCTGCACAAAGATTTCATCACCACACAAAGACTACCATCAGAATAAAAATTAAAAAAAAAAAATAATAGATAAATTCCAGATACCTAGTTCTGCAAATTTCCGATCAGTGATTCGTAAGCTACAATAATTATGATGCAGAATACAGCAATCTAAAATCAAAATCAAAACCTAATTAACTGACCGGCATTTATTTTCAATTTTCCGATATTCTAATTTGTTGGCAGCAATTTCAATTCTGTTTCCTTTCTGAATTTTCTTCACAACGATTTGGTCAGCGGAATACAATTTTGTTTTTTTTAACACTAAATACAAAAATTAAAAGAATAAACGAATAAAATAGCGCGAAAAAGAAGAATATAAACACGCACAATCACACGCACACAGAGAATATATATATACGTAGGTAGTGGGAGAAGGGGCGTACTCTTGTTGAAGATGATTCTGTAGTAGGTGGAATTTCAGTTCTCAGAGAAAGATGGAGAGAATTATATTATTCAACACTCTCGTTTGATTATTCAACATTCATTCATATTATTTTGGGGAAATTACAGTTTTCACCCCTCAAGTTTGCATCGATTACTCATTTGATCCCTTATGTTCACAAAAAACACATTTGGTGCATAATGTTCCAATAGTTTAACACTCTTGGTCATTTTCATCAATCTACCGTTAGTCGGTTGGTTAAGGGAGTGACATTGACACGGTTCATTATGTTATTTTTAACGTGAAATTGACAAAAATGACTAAAAATGTTGCATTTTTTTTAATATTAGGGACTAAATATGTTTTTTTTTAACATGGGACAAAATGTGAAATTGGTGCAAACTGCAAACTTGAAGGGCAAAAAATATAGTTTCCCATATTATTTTTATATTAGAGAGAGAGAGATATGTTTTGGGCTAACATTTAAGCCCAAATATTTAGATTTGTTAACAAATGGGCTTTGATGGCTCGATTGGTTATACGATGGGCTAAAGTGCAATTATTGAATAATCTCGGGGTTATACTATTAATAAAATTAGTCAATTCAATTATAAATGTTTGCTTAATTTGATTGCATAGTGTGCTTGATCAACATAATAAAGTCAAAATGGCGTGATGTGGTGTTCACTATATATATGTTTCTTAAGTTATAAATAGAATGATAAATATGAAAATATCTGATTTCCTTCGATTCCGGTCCAAAAAATCCATTTTGGAATATAATATTTGTCAATGCGAATTCTAAAATTCCGACTTCCGGTTTTTTTACAAAATTATTTGGATCGGAATTATATTGGAATACGTATGAGATTTCGATTGTTAATCCAATTTAAATCCCGAAAATAATTTCAAAAAAAAATCTGATTTTTGTTCTTCTGAATATTACACTTAAAATACCAATATAATTATGTACTTTTTATATTTTAGGTGACAAAAAATTGGAAATTTCCAAATTGCGTTCCAAAATTTTTCAATTTCGGAACAAGTTTTTTCGTTCCAATTTTTGAAATTCAGATTTCTTCCGTTTTTCTTTTTTAATGGAATTGGAACTAATTTTTCACATCCGAAAAAAATCAATTTTTTTTTCTTCCGAAAGGGCTAATTGCAATATGATATGACCGCTTTACACCCCTAAACAAGCCCTATAAATTTATTTTCTTGTCCTTTTCTATTTACTTTCTACAAGTGACAATTATTTTATGTTGCACATCAAAAAATGTAAAAAAGAAAATACCTGAAAAGCTAATAAGAGAAAAATGACTACAATTAGTTAGTTGTTGGACAATATTTGGTCTAGTCAATTTTAGTATATCATGCTCCCTTTTCATTGTCGCAATGGCTAAAGACTTATAACCGTAAAACAAAGATAAGGGGAGACGGACACGGATAAATATCATGCCCAAAAAATATGGATATGATGGACTCAGAGAAATGCGTAAATATTAAAAGTTATATAAATATATATAAGTTTTTATTTATATAACAAATATTTTTTATTTTATTTTCATACAAACATATTTAAAATATATTTTACTTTTTTTTTTGAGGGAAAAGAAAATTCCATTAGACATTAATAGCCAAATTATGAGGAATATGAGTTCCATCACTACAACTTAAACTAATGTTCGTGGCGAACACATGCGCCAATTGGTTTCCACTACGCTTAACAAACGAAAAATCGCAAAATATAAAGGAGCCTGTTATAGCCAAACATTCATCGATATAAGCTCCGAACGACGACAGTGATGACTCGCCTTCTTTGAGGGAAGAAATAACCTGCAAACAATCTCCTTCGATAATTATCGAGCTCCAGCCAACGGTCCTTGCACAAGAAATTGCCTCAAAAACTGCATGCGCCTCGCATTCGACTGGCTGTGGTTGCCTCGGAAATCGACGAACCGCCCATCTGCAACATCCACCTCGCCAATCACGTGCGACCATAGCAACTGAGTAATAGACCATTCCCTTCGGCAAAGCTGCGTCGACGTTGATTTTAATGCAGCCCTCAGGAGGAGGACTCCACGCCGTTGAGAGGGACCTCGTTTGAATTTCCGGAGTCAAGACCATCGCCTTTTGGAACTCGATAAGAAAATCTTGACCCCAAGTGATGAGATATTTCGCTTCCATAGCCTCTTCGCGATGCATTAATTTGTTCCTTACGTCCCAGGCCTTCCACGCAATAATAAGTGCCAAGAGGAGCTTGTCCCGCTGGAGAAAGGCCCTCGCAAGACTAATCCAATTCCACATCGAGCTTTGTGGCCGCATGGGTCGAAGATTGAAAAACGGCGAACTCCAAATCTTCCCCATCTGGTTACACTCTTGCAGCACATGCAAAAAAGTTTCAACATCAGCACCGCATCGCATACATATAGGAGAAGGGACCATTTTCCTTCGGTGGAGCTCCGCGCTTGTAGGAAGGATATCCGAGCAAGCTCTCCATAGAAAGTTGCGAATTTTCGGCGGGAGGGGCAGATTCCAAATCTCGGTCCACTTATGGTTCGCTGCTCCGCTATGTGATGCTTCATTCCTTCCCCGACTGTTAGTTGACCTATGAAATTGTGAAATAATATTATGATAGCAGGTTCGGACCGTAAGCTCTCCCGTCTTAGAATAATGCCAAATTCACCTGTCTCGTGCATTACGAGTTCCAATAGGAACCGCTAAGATCCGTTCTCTGTCCACTTGCCAAAATTGCGAATTAATAATTCCAATATTCCACGTGCATAAATCGGGGTCAATGAGATCCGATACCCGATTCGGGTAACTGCTCATAATTGGTCGTCGAGTTAAGACCTTATGATTGCCATCGTCTCGCAACCATGGGTCGGCCCAAATAGATGTATCATGATCATTCCCGATGCGCTTCCGAAGTCCTTGCACCAAGAACGGGCGTGCCTTCAGCATACTCTTCCATGTAGCCGATGGTCGAGAACCGATTGCCGCTCGAAAAATATCGCTCTCTGGAAATTATCGGGCCTTAAGAATCTTGGAGAGGAGAAGGTCAGGTTTAGTAATTAATCTCCACACCTGCTTTGCAAGCAAAGCATAATTGAAACTACGCAAATCCCGAAATCCCATTCCCCCTGCCGATTTTGGTGTACACATTTTCTTCCAAGAAATCCAAGCTACCTTTCTGCCCGAACCCCCACCCCACCAAAACCCACGTATGGTAGATTCAAGATCAGCAAGCCTGCAGGTAACTCGAAGCAGCACATCAAGTACGATGGAATAGCTTGTAACACAGATTTAATCATTACATCTTTTTCCGCTTGCGACAACTGCTTCTCCCCCCAACCCTTAATTTTGGACCATAGACGATCCCTCAAGAAGTGAAAGATGTCCTTTCGAGATTTACCTAAGGATGCCGGCATACCCAAATATTTGTCATGGCGATCTACCACTTGAAATCCTAGTAAATTGTAAATAGAGTCTTTCACTTGAAATCCTAGTAAATTGTAAATAGAGTATTTTACTATCAACTATCAATTTACAATTGGTCATTAAATTATGTAAATAATTAAGGACGCAACAAAAATATTTAAAAAATTGGTATTCAAATATGTCTTTATTTTTTTTAAATTGCAAAATAACCCATAATGTGTTCGGCAGGTGTCCTCGAATTTCGGACACAAAACGTGTCCGAATTGCGCAGAACATTAGAACGCTGAAGTTTTTGTGCTACGTAGTTTTTAAGGCGTGTTATAAATTTCAAATAGGGTGAATTCCACCTACACCCTTAAGGTATGCTAAAGTAACTTTAATGTCCATGCGGCATTGGTAATTACAACCACACCACTGAAACAATTATCTGAGCCAATATTTCATGTCTTGGGGACCGATATGCACTATATTTGTTTCTCGTGGGCCCTTAATGCACTACCATAGTGTTATCTCCACCACAGTCTGAAACTAATTGGCCGTTCGAATCTTAAAGGAATAACTTATCCAATGCATTATTCCATTTGAGTTTTTAACAATGTTTCAGGGAGGTGATTGTAATTACCACTATTATAGAGACTTTAAAGTTATTTTAGCATACTTTAGGGGTGGAGACGTTGAGTTGTGTCGG